TTCATGCTTTTAACTGAGCACTTACCTCTGCAGCAGAGTCAGGGAAGCAGCAGAATGCAACGTGCGATGGGGTTTGCTTGTGATGCATCGGGGCAACCTGCGGCTCCGCAGCTGTTCCCTTTCTATAACTGGGGGGGTCTTCTTGGAGATTACCCCCCCGTCTAAATGACAATTTCATTCTGCCTCCCACTTCCATTCCCAACTCCTCCTTCATGGTGGGCATCTTAACGTATATGGCAGGCAGAGAATGTGTTTATGTGATGGTTAAGATAAGGCACACTCTATCAAATGGGGAGGGCAGTTTAATTTTTTAATCCAGATTAGACAAAACCCCCTCAATTATGGTAATATTCTGCTTCATAATATCCACCCCTGCAGGTTTTTCTATGTGTGTGTGTATATGGGTGAGCATATTGTGTGCATAGAAAGGAACAGAGGTACACTTTCCATGAGAAATCAACCCAGCTTTTACAAAAATAGAACGCAAATAATGGAAAATATTAGGGGGCACAGATCCTGTTTGCAAATCCCATGGCTGGTTTCCCCCTAAATGTTTCACTGAATGATTGCACACATTTTGAAGTGTACTCTTTGCTATAAAGACTTTATTTTTTCCTGGTGTTTTATCATAGAGATTTGGATAGATGATAGCAAAATATTATTGTGTGCGCCTTTTTTTGGGGGGGGGGGGGGGTTTTGTTTTACATTTGGCTTCCTCCTCCTAGCAAGGTGAATCAATTTGTAAAGCTGTGTTTATACAGCTATTCCTGGCTGCATATCTTTGTACTTCTTTGAAAAAACATGGCTTGCCCACATATTTGCCTATAAGTGAAAAATGAATGCTCTTTTTGATAGCTCTATTTAAAAAAAAGTATAGATAAAACCACTTGCATCAGACTGCTTCCTACATTTCCAGTACAAATAGCAAAAGTTTAGATTGCTATTTTGGCATCAGCCATATTTAATAATAGAAAATGCCTATTTTTATGTGGATGCTTTTATACAAATTGATTAACTGCAACTAACTAGTTGTTAGCATGACTTGCAATATGGTTTGATAAATTAGCCATGTTTCTAAGTTTAAAAACATGTATCTTTTGTCAAAATCAACAGAAGACTCAAAAGTGCTTCAGAAGCATGGTTGTAAATATGTATATTTACCTTTGTAAAGACACTGTACTTACCTTGTATAGAAAAAATATAATTTAAACAAATTGAATGAAAAGAGGAAGAACAGGCAGTTATGAAAGTGGGTTTTTTTCCGTTTTTTATTTAAATGAAGGAATTCTATGTAAGTTCACATGAAGAGTTTTAGCACAAAATATCCACTCTAAACTAGATACAAATACAACACAAAGCACCATTATATTTTTGTGCAAGGGTGGGGAGAATGTCAATCCTTATCTTATTTATGGTATTTGATTTTTTTTCTGCTTTTGAGTTGCATTCTTGTTATCTGCAGTAATGTTTAGACCTATTGCTAGGACTGAATCACACTGAATTAATCTAGCCAACAAAGTAACATGATATTGACTGTATATAACCAACTCATTTAAAGGTTTATTTTTGTTGCTGTTGCCATTTTTAGTTATATACACACACACACACACACACAGTTTATTTTTGTGTTGATTTTGGTTCCAAGATGATTTGACAATAAATTGAAGGGCTGAATTACTCCTTTGGTCCTTGTGCAAGTTATTTACTGAAGCGTATTGGGAGTAGTTGTGTGGCCATTGACTGTCAGTGGAATTTTGGCCTTCTGAAAATGAGCCGTCAGTGCTTCAGTCTGGTGAGGGGATGCTCAGAGCCATGGTACCTTGAATCATCTGAGCCTAAGTGCCATGTGAATCAGGGCCCCTGCCCAAGGGTAGAACTTCGTGCTCTGACTAAGTCCTACCAGGGGATGTGTCTCCAGCACTGACAGCCCGCAGCCTCCCTAAGGCCTAGGCTATCAGGCCTTGTAGCAGAGCTCTGCATAGAGCTGTGTAGACAGCACTTTGAAACTGTAGCTTAGGCTGAATCTTGGGCTCTGAAGGTGCCCACTCTTCCTCCCCCCATAAAAAAGAAAAACTTCCAGAAAAGACCAGACTTACCACCTTTGATATATGGAAATTAAGAAACAAAAATGACCTTGTTTTGTAGGAGTGAGGGGGTAAGGCCCCTTTCCATAATATACAGTAAAGAAGTATAAAAGGGCAAAAACCTTATTTTAAAATAGCCCCTTGCCAATCACTTTTAGATCTTCTGTTCGCAGCTGACATTTCAATAGTTTGGCTTATGTGTTTAAACAGAAGTTCTCTCTACTGGACAGAATTGAAACTGCTCAGCTGTGCATCATAAGCCCTACACTTCTAGCAGCTATTGGGGATTCTCCTTTAGTTGTAGTGGCCTAGCAGGAGAATCTGAGTTCCATACCCACTGCTCCCACATAGTTCTATTGGCCAAGATGAGAAGCAGAGCACCACTGGGTAGGTATGGCATGGTGGGGGGAAACGGATAAGACGTTTACCACTCAACAAAAGCACAAAAAGAAGGAACACAGACCGACTAGCTGCCAGAAAGTTCCAAGGCAAACTCAAGAAACAATAGTAAAAACTTTTGCGCAAAAGGGCCAGTGTAGACAGCTGAGATTTGTTTTCTGCAAAAAAGCCCCAATTGTGAAAATGGCGATCGGGGCTTTTTTGCGGAAAAGCACATCTAGATTGGCACAGACGCTTTTCCGCAAAAAGTGCTTTTGTGGAAAAGCGTCCATGCCAATCTAGACGCTCTTTTCGAAAATGCTTTTAATGGAAAACTTTTCCGTTAAAAGCATTTCCGGAAAATCACGCCAGTCTAGACGTAGCCTAGAGATACTGCGTAGCCGAGAGATACTGCACTGGGAGAGGAAGACTGGCAGAAATTTTCCTCAAATGAGTAAAACCAGGGCTGCTGATGATATGGAGGCACCATGAAACTTACCAGAGTCAGGGCACTTCCTTGGGGAGTCATGGCCTAACTCCTGCATGCCACATGGCCGGTCTTTTACAGCAGGGACAATAGAGCAATAGCGTACGCTACATAACAAAGGGCAAGTCTACTCTACATAGTGTTTAGCTGCTGTGTTGACAGCCCTGTTGCTCAAAGTCAGCCTGTGTGACCATTGTTTGACTAGCCCCCACGAGGGCACGGCTTTGCTTTGTTGGCAAGAGAACATGCCTGCGGACAAAGCAGCCTTCACACCTGCACCTGCGAAGACAAATCTTTTGCCATTGGGAGGAGGGGTTAAGTGCCTGTGGATGACGAAAGTTTTGTCCATCAATTGCCCGTGTAGACAGAGCCTAACTAGCACACCAGGAACAGAAGGCAGGATGTGTGTGCACCAGAGACCCCTCAATGCCACTGATCATGTGGTAGAGCTGACAGGACTCAGTCAGGCATTTGCAGTGGGTAGCACTGTAATGTTTACAGAGTTCCTTTCATTCTGTTTCCTTAAGCTATGTCCACAGTTGCTGGAGCCAGGTCTCAGAGCCACGGCCACACATCCACACTGCTCTGCACAGGCTTCTGCGTTTGCACAGCAACTTGAGCTGCAACCACACTACCAGGGATAGGGCATGGATCCTTGTCCCAACAGGGATGTTAATTAACCTTTAAAATGTTAATTGGTTAAATGCTAGGTTTAACAGGTTAATCCTGGAGCATTTCCCCTCCCCCCAACTGGTTAACCAGTTACCTGGTAAACATGCCAGTAAGGCTCATGCTTACCCTGATGAACCCTTACATCCCTAGTCCCAACAGGACTCAGGCTTGGGGTCTTGGGAGCCAGGAGCTGAGTGGTTGCCCACCCAAGTCAGCCTGATTAGTATGTGACTGGAAGGGGGTTGGGCTCAAAGCTGAGTCAGATACTGAGTTTAGTGCACAGTGTAGCAAGCCCCTTGGCTGCATGGCAAGGTGCGTGCTAGATATGCCAGGAAATACAATAACCAAATTAATGTTGCAGTGTTAGTGTTTAGCCATGGGGAGCCTTTTCAGAAGCACCTATATGACTTGGGAGCAATGTTCCCTCTAATCTTTTCCATCCCTGTGTGGATTTTTCCATCCATGTGTGGAATAAATATTTTATGTGCACCAAGGCATGTACGAAGAGAAATGCAAGACTAGCTGTGGGCACTCTGCTAATCAGCTGGGTGCCACTGGAATCTCTCCTGAATGGCTGGCTGCACAAGCACCCATCTTACAGGGAACACTGCTTAGGAACCTTACTGATTTTCAAACTGGCTTAAGATTCCCCATGAAAGTCAATGGAATTTAGGGTCCTAAGGGCCAATAATTTTTCAACATGGGACTGAAGTTCCTAGGTCACTTAGGAGCATTGAAACTTCACCCTATTTGTAAGTCTTTGTGCTTGGGCCAACGCGGCACAGAAAGATGAACTTGAGCTCTCAAGGTCCCTTCTCTGAGTCTATGTCACTGAGAGTTCTCCATGTATGTAGGGAATGGGAGCTGTGTGCTTATGAAGGGCCGTAGCATGACAGAGAATTGTGCCCGGTGCATGAGCTTGTCCTAGCTCTGCTCCCATGCAGGTCAATGGGAGATTTACCACTGCTTTCAGAGGGAGCAGTTAGGCTATTGCTGAGCACTTTGGGACATTGTATCTGGTGTTGTTACTGCCCTCTAGACTTAGTACGAATGATACAATTTTAAGATGCTCTGTGTTAATAGACTTTAAAAAAAAAAGCCTGGTGAATAGATAGAAGCACATTTTAAGCTCTTTCTTTAGAAAATCCCATATGTAGCCAATATTTCACACATCAGATATGTGTGACTCTGCCCCAAATGCTATGCACAGGGAAAGAAGGGAACCATCAGAAATTAAGCAGCACATCAGAGATGACTGAATTGTGGCAGACGTGAACAGTCAATTGACAAAGCAGGCAATGGATTCCCCAAAAGCATTTGGAAGGACAAAGGGGATTTGTGTCAGTGTCACTTTATTCCTTGCTAGGAGATGTTTAAAGATGTACTGGAACAAAGAATTGCTGTGGACAGCACCAAAGGAATCCTGTTCAACTTCAGACAGTTTAAGTAGATTGAACCTGCACTTCAAGCTGCAGCTGATCCCAGTCTTGGAAATGTGCGTGTGCTGGAGCTTCCTGGTATTTGCACAGGTTTGCCATTAGCCTCATGCAGGGATGTTTGTTTGAAAAGTAAGAAAGGTCACTGAATAATGCCCTGAAAGGCACCCTCCCTCTTCCAGGGAGAAGTTGCTTCTTTTTGAAATTGTACCAAGCAGATGCTTGACCTCACCCCAAGAGCACACCCACAATTGCTTGATCCTACCTGCTTAGCCATTACACCTACCAATGCTCTAAGCAGCCTGTTCCCAGAATGGCAATGGGTCTAGAATAGATACAAGCTGAGCAGTTTGCCCTTTTTTCTGGATATTAGGCTGAGGGAATTGGACAACGAAGCCCTGTAAGAAACTCTTGCCTTAGGTGATGGAAATGCATCTAAGTGGCCAGAGGTGAGCAATGTTCTGTGTAAGCCGCTTCCTGGTAGGTGATAGTTGATGAAAGGGGTACTACTTTACTCCAGCTCCCTTTATATGCTCTGTTCCTTCCCCAATCCAGAAATGGTGATAGTGGTAAAATGACTAGCTGAGCTATAGTGAGCAATGTTGCCATTTTTTCATATTGGCATCACTAGGTTTCAGAGTCAACACAACTTAGCTTTGTTAAAGCCATTCTATACATGTCTAAGATCTATTGTTTCTTTCTGGCTAAAACTGAAGGGGCAGTCTTGCATGTGGTCACATGCCAAAGGTTTTCTTCACAGTCATAAGGGCTAAACATTTCCCTGTATTGTAAGTGCTAGCTAATATGACCTAGCAGACAGGAAGGGGAGTGTGAACGGGTCTAGAAGGCTCTAGCCATGGAGCAAGCAGAACAAAGCTGACGGGGTCTTCCCCTCGGTTATGGGCTCAGTCCTGCCTCCCTTGTCCAGCTGCCATTTTTTTGGGA